TGTTCTTCCTTTCAGATGCAAGTGTGGTGCATGTGTTATGAACCTGGTTGTTTGTTGTCAGAAGACCAACACTCGCACATATAGACTTCCAGGTATGCCCATCCATACACAGAAGGAAGGGGATAGGATAGGAGTATCACACTGCACAGGGAGAGATGAACACAGTGGAAGACTTAACCATGAGATATGACAGAGAACACTGAAAGTGCACTTCGCTCCACAGAATCCTCACAACCAGTCACAAAGGAAAGCCGAGTAGATCACATCCGAACAACAATGAAACGATGATAGTCCGAACCCAGTATCAAGACTGTTTATTACACTCGGAGTCTTTAATTGTTAGAATAACCCCAGAACTATGGTGCGCTGCTCAGAAATGAGCAGCGCTTCACTCCCCAACCCTGAGTAACCGCAAGAACTACCCCTGAGTCCCTGAAACATCAAGCGCCACCCAGATACAGCCTCTAGAGGGAAGCGCCACCCTGAAACAGGCCTCTGAGGCCAAGCGCCTCTCAGAGGATGAAGAAGAAGACCAGTGCCACAGTGTCTGATGAAGATGAAGGGCCCGATGACTTCCCAGGTGGAAGCCTGCAGCAGCGCCACCTTTCCTGACAAGATGATCTCTGAGGAAGAAGCTGCAGCTATGGCTGCAGTGCCACACACCCTGTAACCCTACTGCTGAGGAGGGTCCAGCAGGGCACCAACTCTCTCGCCTCCAGCAGACTCCAAATAGCTCGGACCTCTGCACAGCCCCGCATGCTGTCAGAGTACAGCATCAGACCCAGCTATGGCTGACGCTCCGCAGGCCCAGCTATGGCTGTCTCCTCCAACGCTGAAGCTGTCACCAATTCCAGTTTCCGCGTTGCACAGCAGCGACATACACGGTACCAACTGCCAAAAGCCCTGAACCGATGTACTCAACCTATCTATAACCTACACTAGCCTAGACTCGACCTAGACCGGACTGGTAGGACTCACCGGTACCGTTGCAGTTCCGGCCTCTCGGCCTCTTCCTACCTGGTTATAGGCTATAGGACCGTTTATCAGCATAGGCCCATAGGGCCTGTCTGTCCTAGGGGTAGCCCGGGTCTGCTATCCGCAGTCAGGGTAGCTGTAGGTAGTTTCTGTTAGTCGGGCCTTTATTTTTCCCGAATTTTCAGATATGTCCCTCACGAATTTACCTACAGGTAAGTCTCTCGGTTAGCCCTCATCCAAACAGAAATGACGAATTTAGCCTACCTATAGTACAGCCTCGACAAGAGAGGCTACAGGCGACCAAAACCCAGCAAGTCATTGCACATGTCTGTGTGCATGTGTGTGCCTGTGTCGGAGAGGAGGTTGGTCTCATAGTCGTGGAGTCTACAGTTGCTGTGGGCATGTTCTCTTGTCAAAGCAAGATGGCATGCGCACTTGTCACTGGTCAAGGCATCAACATGCTGTGACAAGTGAGCATGCCCACAGCACAACCACAATGCCAAAAGCCCTTTGTCTCATGGTTGTGGAGTCGACGTTTGCTTCATGGGAAAGCCGGCAAACTGGTTGCCGGAATGTTTCCAGGTCGGAGATTGAAACTATTTTTTGCTCATATTTTTGAACCGTTTTTCTGTAATTTTGATTTGAAAATTTCATAAAACTCTGTCCTCCCCGACATCCATTAAAATTGGAACAATACAGAGAAGATTAGCATGGTCCCTGCAAGGATGACACACGTGAATCGAGAAATGGTCTTAATCAGTGTTGCACACGCCGACCGTCGGCGACCCCTGACTGATCGGCTGCCGACCCGCCGACCGGTCGGCTGGTCGGCACCTACCGGTCGGGGGTCGTCGGCACCCCGCAAAAAAAAAAGATTTTTTTTTTTTTTTTTTTTTTCTTGGTCCAGAACCCCTAATAACCCCACGAACACCTCCATACCCTCCCCAAATACCCCCATACACCCCCCCCAACACCCTCATAACCCCCCCAATACCCCCTATACCMCCCCTATACCCCCCTAACCACCCCTATACCCCACTATATCCCCCTATACACCCCAGTCCCAACCCCCCCATCCCCAAAAGTTTCTCAGCGGATTTGGGCTGTACTCAGCAAGCGCAGTACAGCTTCCAACTCAGATCTGAAAAAAATTAGTGGATGGTTGTTTTCTGACTGGTCGGCAGACCGCCGACCGGTCGGCCCTACTGGTCGGCTGCAATACGGTCGGCGGTCAGGGTCGGCAGTCGGCAGGGATGCAACCATGGTCTTAATATTAAAAAAAAAAAAACTCTGGGGAAAAGAATGTATCATGGCATCGGAGCACTAACAGTTTCGGGCCGAAATTCCGAATTCAATTCAACAATTTAGCTATTTTTAGTTTTATTTTTTTATTTGTTTTTCGTTTATTACAATTTATGAGGTGTTTTTTCAATATGAGGTGCTATCGAGTTCATTGCGGCTATTTTTAGCATGCGCCGCCCAGGAATGAAATGATCAGGAAGAAATTCAAGAAAACAAATATGCATGCTCAATGCCAGCCATCATGGCAGTTGTTGTACTGAGAATGCTCAGCTAGGTCTTCCATGTCCTCATCCATCTCATCCGTACAATGTACGTCCTCTCCGTCATCAAGGACAGACTGATTCCTGAGCCTTCCTTTATCCTATCCTATGCTTTCAGCTTGATTCCAAACTCTGTAGTGGAGTCTTCCCTTAATTTCCCTTTGTCTTCGTTTGGTTTATCTTTTCATCCTTTGCTCTGTCTGTTTTATACATCGTACAAGCGGGCCATTATGGCACACGGGGATGCGTGCAGCTCGTGCTCAAGTTCATCAACGCGGCGAGCCTTGTACGTGAGAGGCAGAGTGAAAGCGGGGGGGGGCTAGAGAACAAATAAGCAAAGAGGCGACAGTAAGGAAAGAAAAGGAGGAGCTGCACACAAAGAGGAGAAAGACTGGTGTCAGTGTGTGCTTCATGTTTGGCTTGTGTATTGTTATCTTTTTTTCCGCAAAGTGCGCTCTGTTAGTTGACAGATGTGTGATGAATCTGACGCTGTATATTTTTGGCGCACTTCCACCCACACGCTGCTTGTCTCGATGACCTCTAGACGTCTGGGTGGCGTACCGAGTCTGGGTCTGGTGTAGATTGTGTCCAGATTGGACTGTGGCTAAACCATGAATAATTCCCAGTAAAAATTCCCTTGTGTATCGGCATACTAACACTGGGTTCCCAAATCGTGCTTTGCAGAATAATCTGGATGAATTGTGGACTCTTCTGAACTTCTTGCTGCCGACGATCTTCAACTCTTCGGAAGATTTTGCGCAGTGGTTCAACAAACCTTTTGAGAGCTCTGGTGTGACAAATGGCGAGGACTCTCAGGTGAGATTCCTGTTTAACATCCTGTCGTGCCGTATGATCCCTTTGGTGTGCCCATAACTCAGAGATAGTGCTAAGTTACTGCTTCCTTCTTCCCCCGAACACATATGCGTTGTATTTGAGTTCCAACATTTTAAAAACAAATCGAATAGAACGCATATGCGTTGTATTCCCAAAATTTAGTTCTATTAGAATAGAACGCACATGCGTTGTATTCGAATAGAATGCAGTTGTATCCGTGTACAACGCATATGTGTTATGTTCGGGGGAAGAAGGTAGTATGTTCAAACAATCAAAACATGTAGCGCTGAAGGATGCTTTCGCGGCATGCTGGGAAGTGAAATCAAATGAGCTTTTGCCCTTTCGGTCCCCAGATGCGATTTCTTCTCTCGTTGAGCTCATCTTAGCACACGTGCATTATCTTCTAAGTTCTAACAGATGTGCCGCTGCAGCCAAACTCGGCACCGGACTAGTGTCGTGCTACTTTCATTCTGCCTGAAGTGTACTCTTTATTTGTTTTCGTGTTTGCCTTGATAGACTCTGAGCTAGTTCCGACCGCTGAACAAATTTGGTGGACAAATACACAAGTTATGTGAAAGCTAGAGTAAGTTCTAACAGATGTGCCGCCGCAGCCAAACTCGGCACCGGACTAGTGTCGTGCTACTTTCATTCTRCCTGAAGTGTACTCTTTATTTGTTTTCGTGTTTGCCTTGATAGACTGTGAGCTAGTTCCGACCGCCGAACAAATTTGGTGGACAAATACACAAGTTATGTGAAAGCTAGAGTACCAGCTGCTTGAGCACGTGACAAAATAACACCGTCCATTTCAAAAAGAATTGGCCCTTGCGAAACACGCTACAACGTAGAATTATGGATATACAAGAACTGCAATGAATGCAGCATTGCAAACAACGTTTGCTCGAGGGTGGGATTGAAAGGTTTCTTTAACGAATCCAAGAAAGAAATCCTAAACAGATCCCGGCCTGCTATTCAAACTCTGTGGATCTAGTGTCTGGCATCTTGTGCAACTGTGAAGAGCATGGAGTGCCTGGCGCCCGCCCATATGCATGGATTGCAGCAAGTATTTTCCATAGCTACGCCGGACCGGACCACGGACCGATTCCGGACCCTGGACCCCGGACCTCCTGGGCCCATCCAGACTTCCGGAAAACCGGATTATTCCGTAATTTTCGAACCGGTCCGGACCCCTGGTCCGGATCCTGGTCCGGATCCCCTACATTGTCCGGGAAAAAAAACCAAAAAAAAAAACCGCCTCTACTCCTCCTACTTCTCAGTTAAAGTGTGTCATCCATGTGCAGGGCCCATGCTAATCTTCTCCTTCCAATGTTAATGAATGTCCCAAGGGCAAGATTAGCATGGCCCCTGCGCCAAGATGACACGCATTAATGGGGAAGTGGACCAAATAAAAAATAAATAACCCAAAAAGGAGGAGGAGGGGGAGGGGGAGGAGACGTGGAGGAGGAAGACAAGAAGAGAGGACAAGGACGACAGAGGAGTACAGAAAAAAAAATTGGGCCCACGTATTCCTTATTAAATAGTCTTTTTCCCGAAGGACCCCAGCAGTGCATCTGCAAGGGTCCAGTATCTCAAGAGACGTTTGGCAAATTTCGTATGAGAGCGGAGCAGGCCAGCAATATATGTTCTGGATCCGAAGTCAGGTCTGCTTTCCAGCAGTTATGGGTCACAAGTTACAACTACTTGCTACCATAGCTCTCTCTTTTCTTTTGTTTCGTTTTCCTACGAGCAGCGGCCCTAAGGGCCTTGCTCCACTCGTCAAAACATATGGCGGCTTATGGTTCCATGTTCTAGCAGAAGATTCATTCCGACGCTTTCTTTTGTTTCCTTTTCCTACGAGCAGTGGCCCTAAGGGCCTTGCTCCACTCGTCACTACTTGCACAAAAGACAAAACATATGGCGACGTATGGTTCCATGTTCTAGCAGAAGATTCATTCTAGTTTTGCACATTTGGTGATTAGTGGAGGGAAGCCCTGAAAAGCACGTGGTGAGTTGGCCTGCTACTGCCTAGAAACTTGCGTGCTCAGTGGTCCCATAACTGCTGAAACACGGACCTTAATGTGAATCCACAGCATATATACTTGGTGTGCGATGACCCTAGCATGTCTATGAGCATCACTTAGTTCATGGTGAGAGGCCCTTGCTAATTATCTGGAGGGGCCTCTGGGGTAACCCCCAGGGGTTTTCTAATAAATTATAAGGAGCTATTTGTTTGCTCTCTCTCTCTCTCTCTCTCGTGTTCTCACACATAACAGCGACCTTTTTTTTTTTTCTTCCTTTTGCGCAATAGTGACCACCGCACTGCTCCGGGTGCAGCGCACACTTGCGCCGCAGGTAGGAAACAAAACCAAAGTTACCAAACCCCCTGGTAGACTTTCGGGGCCTTCCGTATCGTTGGCGAGGGGCATAAAAAATCAGGCACCATTTTTTTGGGGCGGCCCAGGGCGTGAACAAACGCCCTGGACCACCCAAAAATCTTTTGCCGGTTGGGCTGGGGCCCACACATCCCGACCGAGATCCGGACCCGGACCCCGGACCCCAGACCCCAGACGGTCCGGATCCCTGTCCGGTGTTCCGGATCGTAGCCATGGTATTTTTCCACCTTTCCAAGTCGTTTGGCCTAAGGGCCTCGTTCCGCCCCTCGTTCCACCCTTTGCTGAGTTCGGGAATTGTTTTGTGGAAGTCGAGTGGTGGAATGAAGGCCCTAGGTCGGCCATACATATGCCTTAGGCACTGCTGCATAGATCAACAAGAGAAGCGAATCGATGACAGATTCAGCTTTCAGATGGATGGCAGCGTTCTTCTGGCGTTGGCTTGGAGCAAAGCCCAACTGCGAAATCGGATGGTCGATTATTCTTCGGGATTTCCACATTCTTCGGCCATAGGCCCATAGGTATATGCTGCGAAATTCAAGCCTCACTCATGGGTTAAAGTCTTTGCTCATTTCCACACTTGTGCTTTACCGCATGTTGCTGACCTCAAAGCTGATTTGCTCCTTTGCATGTGTCCGCCACTGTCTTCCGCCTAATAGAACGTACGCCGTACAGTCATTATAACTCTATTTGCAATTACTTTGTCCATGAGGCAATAATGACCATATGTTCCATTCGGGGAAAGATGGCACCGTGATTTATATCTTTTCCTAATGGACGATAGTTTCAGTATTTCACCCCGGTACGATAATGTGGCAAGCAGTCATGCCTACAGGTAACTATTCATCTGCTCAAAAGGGTCAAACCACTTAGTTTGGGTTTTTTTTTTTTTGGGGGGGGGGGGGGTTGAGGGAGGGATTTCATGGACCTGCTGCCTTTCTGAATCACTCAAATCCCGTACCGTCTTCATGCGGATGCAATGCATGGTCATTATGGCTGTATCTGGGGAAACTTTCGGTCTAGATGCGGCATAATCACTCACTGTGCGTCGTCGGCTCTATTTGTATACGCAGGGTAGGCTTGAGGTGACTGTGCAATGATGGACTTCTGAAGGTGGTCTGCTCTCAATATGGGCAATGATGGATTCTTTTTCTTTTGGGTGTTGGTCTTGGTTTTGCCGTTGATTCAACTTCAATGGATGGGGCTTCCAACTTTGCTTTTGTTTTCCCTTGCAGACGCTTCTACTAAATGAGGAAGAGAACTTGCTCATTATTAATCGCTTGCATCAAGTCCTCCGGCCATTCATGCTTCGTCGGCTAAAGGAGAAGGTAAACACCCCAACAGACACAGACAGCGAACCCAAGCGAAAACAAACACACACAAATAATAAAAGGCCTCCTGCATTTACCTGTATAGCAGCGGTCGATGTTGCAGACAGAGTTCCCGGCCTGTACTGGAAGTTGCAAAACCGGAAAAGGAACAGGAAGGAAGGGTCCTTGCGGGGTTGGTCTACTTTGATGGACTGGCGGGGGGGCGGGGTGCAAGGAGAGGGTTCTCTCTCCCATAAGCAGATGCCTTTCTGCACATTGCTGCTGTGTCAGTTCTTTTTTCTGAATGGAGAGGCACTACGGAGGAGGAGGAGGAGGAGGAGGAGGAGGCTGGAGTGTGATTAGGACACAGATGTATTGATCAAATAGTAATCCAGGAGGAAGTTGCCTTGCGCGCGGGGAAAACGTTATGGGACCACGGGAGGAGGGGAGGTAGAGAGGAAAGAGGAGGTGGAATTCATTGAGCGTGGTGCTAATTGTCGACGAGAGTAAGGCAGCATCTACATGCAATCAGCTGGCTTTTTGTTTCTTCGATGTCATCGTTCCTTTGACAGGTTTTGACTAAGGAGGAGGAAGTGGCACAGGGAAAGCAGGAGAGGTAGGAAGCAACACAATGAGGGAGAAGAGCAGGAGGCAGAACAGGAGAAAGAAAGCAAAGAGGAAGAAATGAGGGCAAGGAAAGTGATGAGGACGACGGGGACGGAAAGAAAGGGGGAGGAAGAGAAGAAGAGAAACGATGGCATCGAGGAGGAAGAGAGAATAATCACGAGGAGAAGGTGCAAATGGGAATGAAGGGGTGGTGGAGACGGAGGGGTTGTTCAAATGGTGAGGTAAGGGGCTGTCAAAATGGCTGCAATCGTAAAAGTGGAACAATGCTTCGAGAGAAAATGAAAAGATGTCACTTCAGGCTTTGCAGTTGTGTGTGTACGATGCACTGGCGCCAACAGAAAGAGACTATCATGTTTGAAGTTCTGCGCACAGGTCTCCTTTGTTCTTTCTCAGCATTGTTGAATGGTCCACACACTTCTTGTTGGCAGATGACTAGCCTGGTTCTCATGCACCTCCTTGTGGCGTACAGCTATATGGAGTGGTGCACCTATTGCGCATGGCTAGACGGACCCCGTCATGCAGAGAACCCCTTAATTAATATGTCATTGAAATGCAAGTCTCGTTTTTCTGTTTGAATTGTAACTCTTCGAGTGTAGGACTTGCTCAGAGGAAACTGCCTCGTGGCTTTTTCAACCACAATGAACCTATGTGGGTGTGGGTGTATATGTGAGAGAGAACGAGGTGTGCGCGTGTGTGAGGGAGAGAGAGAGAGCATCTGAAAGAAAACATATGCGAATGGGTAGTGCGGGCATGAGAGAGAGAGAGAGAGAGAGAGAGAGAGAGAGAGAGAGAGAGAGAGAGAGAGAGAGAGAGAGAGAGAAGGAAGGAGGAAGTGAGAAAAGGCAGGAGACACACAGAGAGAGAGAGAGAGAGAGAGAGAGAGAGAGAGGCGAAAAAAGAGGTTGTGGTTGCCCATCGAATTCCTCTGGTGATATTATTAAAGATTCACCTTGATCCTATATGGAATTGTGGTTGTTGTTTGCTCTTGGTTGAGAGATACTGATGTGCAGGTTGAGAATGAACTACCAGAGAAGATTGAGCGGCTCTTGCGGTGTAAAGCTTCATCGTATCAGCGGGTTTTGTTGAACAGGGTGAAGGAGCAGCTTGGAGCCCTTGGAGCAGCAAAGGTAACAGCTGAAGGAGGACAGGACGAGTCATGGGAAACAGATGAGGCCACAGTGATATTAGAAAAGAAAACTTCGAAAAGGAAACGTAAAGGGCCGAACTATAATGGGTGTAGTTTCAAACAGACCACTAATGATAGGCAGTGATCCCTCTCAATCAATCATCGTGCACACACAGGCGGGATTCGGTGACATCGAGAGGCACGAAAAAGGACCAGCACCAGTCCCATTTTTGCCTGTTTTTTGTCGGGGGGAAAAGAACAAAACCCTCTCGTTGACCAAGAAAATCTCCAGCTAGTCCTTGTTAACCATGTTTCAGTGGGAGTCTTCCAGCGTAGGCCATGCCGACGCCACCACTTTCCGGCGTAGGGCATGTTCAGAAGGTGGTAGCAACTCAAGGAGATATGGCCCACATTGTCCGAAGTCCTTCAACCCCTGATAAACCCCTTTGTGCACGATGAACATTCTGTGAATTAAATTTCAATTAAATGAATTGAATTTGATTTTTTTTGTTCCGGGAATTTTCTTTTTCCATTCGATCCAAAAGGACCAGCATGATTTGAAAATCATTGTCGTGGTCCGGGATCGCTTGCCCGGCCGGGCCAAAGATTAATAAAATGATAAAAGTATGAAAAACAAATGAACTAGGCAGTTTGTCCGGGTGTCCGGGCCCGGATACACGCCTGGGTGCCTGGCCGGGCCGGAACCCCGGGCAGGGTTCCGGGCAGCCCTAGCTCCAAAGAAAGGGAAAACAAAAACATCAAAATTTTCCAGAGCAAAAAAAAGAAATGTTGTGGAGAATTTTAATACGAACAACTTTGCCTGAGGGTCACATCAGAATTCCTCACCGAAGTGGAGATAAAAGAGAGAGAACCACAGAATCAGACTAAGGCACCCCCCTTTAAAGTTTAAACCCCTTTGGCCCCCTTAAGCTGCTAGTACACGGCCCCAGCCTTGCTGCAAAGAAACTCGTCGCGTGCGAGATGCCATCCGAAGAAGATGGCGCAGGCGCGCCGTCGATAAAAATAATCTGTGGCCTGCTTCACTTTTCGGATTCTGACAGGCACCCGCAGCCGAGCGCTGGATGTGCTTGTGCTTTAAAATTTAAAAACCAATTTATAGCCTCCTTCCCCCCCCTTGACAGCCAACTTTCAAAATAAGAAAGGAGCCCTGATTTGGGCTCAAATGGCCATGCTAGAAAATCCTCCAGCCAAAAAAAAAGGAAAGGGGCTGATTTTTGCCTGCACGGGGTGCCCCATGCAGGTGACCCCCGGGCAACTTGCCCGGGTTGCGCGACCATGCGAGCCAAGTAGCCTAGAAAAATCTCAAAAAAAGTTAAAAAGAACATTTTTACCAGGCAGCTCTGTTTGACTCTCTCTCTCTCTCTCTCTCTCTCTCTCTCTCTCTCTCTCTCTCTCT